GCAAGGTCCCACTTGCGCAAATTAGGAGATATCGGCCGTTGATCTTCGCTATCTACGGTCAGTATCTCTTAATTCGTGCAAGTGGGACCTAGCCCCCGAAGGACGAAGGACAACCTGCCAATAGCGGAGCCAGTGAAGCGATGGTCATAGCAGAGCCAGTGAAGCGATGGTCATAGCGGCGCCTGTGAAGCTATAGTCCCCACAAAGCCAGTGACTGAACCGATGGTCCACATCCATTAGCTTTGCCGGCGTAGTTCCGGTATCGTTTTCTGGTTTTCTTCGCGTCCATATCCCTCACCCGGCTGCACGGTTTACGCTGTTCTGAATCCTCATAGCACTGACGCCTTCACCACCACGCAAACCCTCTCCCGCCGGCGAGCAACGAGGCCTGTCCACTCTACCGAGACTGATGTTCTCCGTTTTCTCTAGACAGCGCCGTGAACGCTCGTTCCGTCTCCCACTTCCCACCATAGCCAGAAGTCTCTTTGCTTCTTCTTTCTTCTGGAGATGTAGCATTAACTATGTTGCCCCCTGACCCTGCAATTTTCCATCTTTTGAGGGCCCCGCTTCTATAACACAATGTACAAACCCCGTGCAACCCCGCTCCCGTACTCCCGCGGTCACTCGGCTTGCCCCTGCCTGGATGTCGGACCCCGTCCCTGAGCTGTGCGTGGCGTGAAGTTGTGAACTGTAACGGGATTACATACGGCAAGAAGTCGAATCGGTTCTCCTGACTGATGTTTTCTTCTCCCAATGCATCCCCTCCCTCCCTCCCTCCGTCCCTCTCATACATTACCCTTGTTCTCATAGCGGCAGCAGGCGCTTGAGTCATGCATGTCCTCGCCATCTCAATCCGTCCAGGCTTTTCTTACCTGCCTCCCAGTCTGTTGAGATGAAGGGAATCAGCCTATTCCAGCAGCTACGGTAGCTGTTTTCCCCTAACGACCCCCCTTCTCCACTTGTACGTTGGGAGGCCGTTCAAGACTTGCCGCTGACTACCACACATACATAATGGTGCTTACCACGTTAGTGTACTTGTACTCTTACTTAGTATTATGTCCCTATGCACAACCCCTCTCTCCGACAGGGTGGTATCGTTGTGCCATCGTCGTCATCCACAATGGTATTGCTCAAATTATACCGGGATACAGATCATGCCCGTCTGCACACTCCCGCTCCTCGACAGTGGCGATCTTCGATGAACATCTTCATAACGACAAACACCGTTGCGGTCCCTGCTTATCAGCGCGGCCTGTGTCAACAGTCGGGTGCTGAAGTACCGCCAGCATTGACGATGGCGCTTGGTCGAGCCCGCGGTGACCATGGCGCAGTCTCCCCCACCGCCATCTCCGCCTCCCCCCAGCTGAGATTAGAATGTATGTATCTGAAAGCAATCACGATCAGCTTCGTCCGAACCATGGTAGAGCAAATCCCCCCGTCCCTCTGCACCTGAGAGCAATCACGATCAGATTCATCTGAATAATGGTAGAGCAAATCCTCCTGTCCGCCTGCACCACGCCGCTCCCGTCAACTGTGCGGCGACTTTGCCTCGACATTCTCACTCCGAGACTGACAAATGCCACACCGGTCCCTCCTCCTCAGCATGGCGCCGTCAACGCTTTTTTGCTGAAACACCACCACTGCCATGGGAACGACTCTAGTATGCTGATGATGAGCCCAATCAACACCGCGCCGCCGCCTCCCCCGCCTCCCCCGCCTCCCTCTGGTCGTCACCTGGGAGCCTACGTTGCCAAAACTAATGATCCCTCATTTATCCCCCCTCCCTGGACTGACCCCAGTCTCCCAACGCATCCCTCTTCCACTCTCCCTTGCTTCCCGAGCCACGCCACCTTCTACTCCTTCTTGTCTTTGATACGGCCGAGTGACGGAGGGAGAGGAGCGAATTCTAGAGAGTCGGGGTAATGCGAAGAGCTCACTCGGAGGAGGTTGACGATCGCTGAGCGCAGGGGTGAGAGGGTGGACGTGGGCGGATGGACTGTCGGCGAGGAGGTAAGGGAGGGAGCCGACGAGCCGCGCAAGGGCGCGGCGACTCTTCCAAGTCCTCGGGCTGGGAGACGGGATGGAACCAGCTGCCCGTGGAGGTGATGACGTTCATCTTCTCCCTGCTTCCCGCGGAGGAGCGGTTGTACGTCCTGCCGATGGTGTGCAGGCTATGGCGATCCATCGCGCTGAGACCGGAGTGTTTTCGAGAGGCGGATCTGGAGGACTGGAGCGAGAAGCGAGTGCTGGTGGCGCTGATCGAGCCGTCCAACGTGTGCAAGAGCATGGTGAGGAGAACGTCAGCCGACGAGGCGTTGAAGCGGCTGGGCGAGCGCGTCGGTGTCAGGCACCTGGAGGTACTGCGAGCCAGAAACTGCTCCGCCCAAGGCCTGGGTTACCTCCTGCCGCCGTCGTGTAAGCCGCGCCTGCTGCACTTGGAGCTTCCTGACCTGCTGGGCAACGCAGATCTGGAGCTCAGCCGACTGGCCGCAGCCTCGTCGAGCTCCCTGCGCAAGCTGATCATCGCCCCCTTCTACTCGGAATCGAGTGGCACCGGGCACGTGATCACCGACAGCTTCCTCTTCTCCCTGGCCAACACGTGTCGCAATCTTACGCATCTCGACATCACGGAATGCAAAGGGGTGACCAAATGGGGGATCCTGGCGGTGCTGGAGAGGTGCCGCAACCTGGAGGCGCTGAGCCTGTCCGGGTGTCTCAGCGAGAGGGAGGACATGCGCGAGGTTCTGAACGCCATAGCCGCCAACTGCTGCCACAAGCTGACCTCCCTCGACGTATCAAGAACCTGTGTCCCTTGCGACGCCTTCGTACACGTGATCGACAAGTGCAGGAAGCTGCAGTCCCTCAACATCTCCGACGTCCTGGTTCTCACCCCGCAGGCTGTGCACGCCATCGCCTCGGTGACCTCTCTCGGAGAGCTGAACCTGGGGTGGAACTCCTGGCTGGAGGACACGCACGCCAAGCTCCTCAGCGTCAGGACCACGCCTTTCACCTCCCTGGACCTGTCCGGCACCTGCCTGTCCGATGCGGGAATGATAGCCGTTGCCAGGGGGTTGGGTAGAACGCTCGTCAAGCTTCGCGCGCACAACACGTTGATCTCCGATGCGTCCATCGAGGCGATCGCGACGTACTGCTCGAATCTCGAAAGACTGGGGGCTCTGGAAACCAACGTGTCCGACAGGGCGGCCGCAATTGTCGCCTGCAGTGGGTGCACCAACCTGATCTCCCTCTCCCTGTCTGGCTGCTGCGAGCGTGTTGTGCGAGACAGCGGTTCTGGGAGTAGCAGCAGCAGCAGCAGCTGGCTCGCCCCTCACAACGAGTGCCGGACGCTGCTGGCCAGATGTCCTAAGCTCATCGAGCTCGCCATGCCCATAACGGATTGCTACGGCGCGCAGGAGGAGGTGGTCGGAGGAGGAGGACGAGGAGGAGCGGTAAGGGAAAGGGAACGAGCTGCGGAGCGCGAGCGTGAGAGGGAGAGAGACAGAGACAGAGACAGGCGTCCTTCTTCGTACTGCACTCATCGGCGCAGAAGCAGACGGTGTCGGCAGGTCATCGCTACGGTGCCCTTCTTCGAGGCCTTGGCCATCGCTTCCTCGAGACTCAAGAGCCTCTCCTTGACAGGCTGCTGCGCCCGGAGGTATGCGGACATCAGCCAGGCTTTGATCGCCTTTCTCGGACTATGCACCAGCGTGATGGCCGTCTCCTTCTCCAAGATCTTTGAGCTGGACGACGACACACTGCGCGGCTTGGGATCGGCTTGCCCCCACCTGATTTACTTCACCTTGGAATACAACGACACCGTCACGGACGTGGGCCTCAAGGCGCTTGTGACGGCCTGCAAGAACCTCAAGGTGGTCAACATCAAGCAGTGCCCGGAAATCTCCCTCTCTGTGCTCGATCAGCTGGCCAAGCTCCTGCCAAAGAAGACTGTCGCGGATGCCCGCGAGTGTGTCTGTACAGAACTCTGAAAAAAAAAAATGCACACTCCAAGAACAAACATAGACACTCCCATCGATAACAGTATTAGCGATCAGCAGCATGGTACTCTCGTGATCCTGACGCTCGCCCCATCATGATCGACCCACACAGAGCAAAAAACAGCCCTAGGATGATGACAGGGGTTACGGATCGGCTTGCCCCCACCTATTTACTTCACCTTGGAATACAACGACACCGTCACGGACGTGGGTCTGAAGGCGCTTGTGACGGCCTGCCTGCAAGAACCTCTCAAAGTGGTGCAGAAATCTCGCTGCGTGTCCTCGATCAGCTGGCCAAGCTCCTGCCAAAGACAACGGCGTAGCGGACGTCCGTCCGCCAGTGTGTCTGCACAGAGCTCAAAATGCATCCTCCTCCAGCTAGCAGTTATCGCCAAACAGAACATGCTCCCATCCATAATGCTAGTATTATTACCGAGCAGCATGCTGCCATGCTCTCGTGATCCCTACGCTCGCTGGCGCCATCATCCTCTCCACCGAGCGACAGCCTAAGGTCATTAATTTCGTTGACGTCAAAGAATTTGCGAACCTCTCCCTCTCCATCGCCCATTGCTCCACCACCAAGGTTCCTCCCAAGAAGATAGTCGTCACAAAACCCGCGAGTTGTACGTAAGCTATGGAGGAACTGCGAGTTGTGCGTCGGCTAAGGAGGAACCAATGCGGCCTGGCGAATTGCAATGAGGCCATTCTCCCAAGCGGCAAGCAAGGGCCTTAACACACAGGTGAACGTCGAGCAGACCGCTGAAGAGAGCGAGCACTGTTTTCTACCTACCAGCCGGCCAACTAACTTGAGGACGGTTTCGAACACAGGGCAAACGCCGATAGCATCGGAGTGCACTGCTGGGACTTGGATGTCTATACCCACAGCCTTAAAAGATCAAATCCCGTTGCAGCCAGCTGCTGGAGCATATCCCATCTTCATTTCTCCACGCCCCTCGTTCTCCTCCATTTACACATTCTCTTGTCCCTCTTTTCCAGATCTCCTCCTAACTACTCTCTCTCTCTCTCTCTCTCTCTCTCTCTCTCTCTCTCTCTCTCTCTCTCTCTCTCTCTCTCTCTCTCTCCGCACCTACGGCTCGTTTGTTTCCTCCCTCAACCTCCATCTTGTGGCCTTCCTCTTTCCGTCTGTTTGTGTTACTCTTCTCCTTTTCCCCATCCTCACCCTTCCATTCCTCTCGCTCCTCGGACTCCCACTTCCTTTCATGCCTACCACCTTCCCTTGAGCATTATTCACCCTGATAATGAATGCATACAGGCTATGTTTCCGGTCCGATTCGGCCACAATGAGGGTGCTTTTTTGCTCGGGGCAAGTCGGTAGTGTTCTTCCTCTCTCTTTCAGGCAGAAACCTACTTCTTCTCCGTTCTCTCTCTCTCTCTCTCTCTCTCTCTCTCTCTCTCTCTCTCTCTCTCTCTCTCTCTCTCTCTCTCTCTCTCTCTCTCTCTCTCTCTCNTCTCTCTCTCTCTCTCTCTCTCTCTCTCTCTCTCTCTCTCTCTCTCTCTCTCTCTCTCTCTCTCTCTCTCTCTCTCTCTCTCTCTCTTCCCGGGCTCGTCTTGCTTCTCGTCCTTCAGTCGCTGGCGCTACCACTTCTCTCGTCTCAGACTGTCAGTCTGTCTACCGTAATCACAGCATAGATACTGTGCAGAGACCTCTTCGAAACGCATTCTCCTCGCCTTTTCGCCCTTCTTGCCGGCCTCTCACATGACAAGTTAAAACACTCTCTGTTTTTTTTTTGTTTTTTTTTGTTTTTTCTGTTGTTGTTGGTTCCCCCTCCCTTCGCGTTCTCTTTCACCTGGAAATTAATTACAGTATGTACGCGGGTTGACCTTGTACGGAATTGAGTTGGGCGCAATCAGGGGAGAGTGCAGCCTGTGAGTTGCACCGGGCGCAACGTTTTGCTCGTGCAGCACATTCGCCCCTTCTTTACGGCGACCGTAAGGGAAGACCGCCCCTGCATGGAAAACAGTCTCCGCTCCATACCTCGCGCTGCGCAGTCGCACTCTCAGGCACACTTCACGGCCATGTCCTCAGCGCAAGTACACCTACAGTAGCGCTGTCACTCTCTTCCCTCTTTTCACCCTTGCAGAGATGGCTCCTCGTACTTAGGCGATCTGCAAAGATGATGGCTCTTACTTCGGCTTCCACCGAATAAAACGTACGGTCATTGTGCCTGTATTTGGCGCAAACTTTCCGTATAGATAGAGCGATAATTACCGTACGTTCTATTATGGGGAAGACGGGTAGTCGATCTGCAGAGATGGCTCTTACTTAGTTGATCACAGGAAACACATGCCGAGCAGCGCGTTCCTCCGGCGGCGTGCATCTCAAGTGCAACAGGAGGAAACAAAATGTGGTTGCGATTTTTGCGAAACAAAATCGGAGGAGCAGCAGCAGCAGCAGCAGGAGGGCAAAAGAAAAGAAAAGAAAAGAAAAGAAAAAAGAAAAGAAAAGAAAAGAAAAAGGAACAGGAGCAGGAGTGGGGTGACGGCACCTTACAGTCAAGATGTCCGCTTGCCAAGCGGAAACTCGCGTGTTCGATTCACGTTGGCACGTTGGGCACAGTGCGCCTGCTGTACTTTTACATAGCCGGGGCAGCATACAACGAGATAATTACTCGGCTGATGTACTTTTACATAGCCGGGACAGCAGACAGCGAGATAATTGCTCATAGCCGGGACAGCAGACAGCGAGATAATTGCTCTTAATCAAACTACGCGGACGTGCAGAGGTAGGTTGTTCGTATAGGCATTGAAGTTCATTGGTGATAGGAAGATTGATGGATACACCCGACTGCTCCTTGTACCTTCTCTATATTAGGATGATTGATCACAACCCAACTGCTCCTTGTAATATGAACCAGGTGCTTCCACGACCAAGAGATCGCTAGCACAGCTGGACGTATTTTTTTTTATGGCCTAGATCATCGCTAGCATAGCTGAACGTATTTATCCGATGATCGCTAGCATAGATGATCTGCAGGTGGTGGGTGCGCACTGCGCAGGGCGACACACGGGAAATTCCCGTCAGATTGTGGCACAGCCGTGAGAAATCCGGCTTCCTGTTCAAGGATTGGATCGGCTTACGTGGGGAGAAGCTCAGGAGATGTTACACGGACAAGAAAGGTTCCAGATGGGGATAAAAAAAGGAGAGGGAGACTCCATTGCGACCCAGTCAAATGCGCTCCTCTAGTCTCCCATTCTCCACCGGCACTCTTTCTCGGCGTAACGACACTGACGAGTACTTGATTATGTGCTTGTACGCTTAGACACACAATCAAACCCGCACTACTCGTCACAGACACGGGCGTGTTTGAACCACTCTGTTTTTTCGTTTTTTTTTTTTTTTTTGTGTGTGTGTGTGTGTGTCACAAAGAGAGAGAGAGAG